GGTAGTGAAATGGTGGCAGATTGCCAACTGTTTTTATAACAGTCAAGTCCGTTAACGTTTTACATAATTCAAAAATATTTTATAGAGAAATTAAAATGCACAATACAAATTGCTAGATGCTCTTCAAACATGAGAGCATATTGAAGGGGAAATTACACCTTAGAGGGACTTTCATAAAATATTTAGAGGTTAATGAAAAAATTTATGAATTTAATTATTAATGTTTATCAAATTTATTATTCATTTGAACTTGAAAAACAAATAATAAAAAAAAAAAACTGAGATAATTTTCTCTGTCTTAATCACGGCTCAAAAAGTTATGATTGTGAATTGTTTCGCTGGCCTTCTTGGTGATATGCCTTTTACCTAGATTTTCTCCTAAAATTAATAAATAAATGCCCCATAAATAAAAAGTCACCTAAAATTGAGAAAAGAGGAGGTCCTTTCTTGTTTTGCTTTTATGTCAAGCAAGTCACCCCATTTTTTAACTAATTCAAATGAAGGGTTCAAAAAAAATAAGACAAATTACACTAATACCCCTATAAACTTTTGATATACCTTTTCCTAGCACAGAATACTTCACTTGTTTTGTAGTTTTATATCATAACATATTGGAACCAATTTCCATAACAATGAGTGTACACCGATTGTTTCAGAATAAAGTTGTAGTTACAATAAACATGTTAATAGCCGCTGTGAGTGTCATGGATCAAACAAAGACTTTGGGGGGTTTTTGGCTTCCCATTTGGGATTTAACTATGTTAGTTGATTTTTTTTATTTTTATAAAAATATGTATAAAAAGTGAAACAAATAATATGATAATTTATAATTTTTTTTTTTTGCTTTTGACTATGAACCTTATTTGCCAAACAAACATGTTTTATCAACAATCAATGAGCTAATCACATATTTTTTCGACTATATTAATTATGTATCTGAAGGTAGTTGAGAATACTTCACTTGTTTTGTAGTTTTATATCATAACATATTGGAACCAATTTCCATAACAATGAGTGTACACCGATTGTTTCAGAATAAAGTTGTAGTTACAATAAACATGTTAATAGCCGCTGTGAGTGTCATGGATCAAACAAAGACTTTGGGGGGTTTTTGGCTTCCCATTTGGGATTTAACTATGTTAGTTGATTTTTTTTATTTTTATAAAAATATGTATAAAAAGTGAAACAAATAATATGATAATTTATAATTTTTTTTTTTTGCTTTTGACTATGAACCTTATTTGCCAAACAAACATGTCGTATCAACAATCAATGAGCTAATCAGATATTTTTTCGACTATATTAATTATGTATCAGAAGGTAGTTGATCCGGCTCATGTTTTGGTTAAAGTCGTCTAAAGAGTGTATAAGATATGAGATTCAGTGAATATTTTTTGTTAGTGAGAGGTCCACTATTTGTGAAATAGTTTGATGATAAGTCTTTTCGTTGATTTTGGAGGACATTTTATTTCTAATTTTACCCCTTAATTTATCTGTTGTGTTTTTTTTATCTGTTGACTTTTTGTTGACTATATGTTCAAAAATTTTTTTGACTATCTGCTTAAATTATATCTATCTGTTTAAATTTTTTTGTCTATTTGCTTAATTTCTTACACTATCTGAAAAATCTAAAATCTTGGAGATATTGATTTGTTATTATATATCAATTTTAACTAGTAAATAGCAATCCCAATCAAACAATCAATGACAAATCAACACAATGATTTTATGTTAAAAAATCACAATTGGAGCGCTTCTAATTGGGATAAAAAAAATCATGGGCAAAAGCTACTAAACAATCCACTAAGAAGACACAAAGTAATTACACAAGTGTACTTTCAATCATCTAGCGAATCCACGCTCGAATTGAACCGATCCCTATGTGCATCTTCCAGTCCCATCTTCATTTCGGAATCGTCTTGCCCAACGTTGAATCCACAACGTCGATATTGAATCCACAACGATGAGCCATTCAGGAATCCACCAAAGTTTCAGGCCCAAATTCTCCAGAATCCACCGAAGAGTAACTTTCAATTTTGTGAATAAAACAAACTAAACAAACCCTTTGATATAATCCACTCAATTCATGATTAAACTCTCATAGATATCAAATGAAACAAGCAAAAAAGCTCCAGATAAAAATCTTAATAACCAAGAAAAAGATCTAGAAGTCGTACCCTAAAATCTGACTGAACCACATATTTATAGAAAACAAGGTCGCGATAGTCACTCGAGCGAAGGAATGCTCGCTCGAGCGAGGAGACTAAAATGCATGTTTTTCCAAGTGTTTTCGCTCGAGCGAGGAAAACATCCTCTTAGTATTCTTATAGTCAGTGAAAGCTTCTGGGACCAAATAATTTCGCTCGAGCGTACATTCATTCGCTCAAGCGAACAAACAACTTTGATTGCATTTTTGCATTTTGCTTCGGGAATGCTACTCCCTAGACCCCCGCGAGCTGACCAGGCGACTCAATCCTCGACATAGTCAGCGAAGTGGCCAACATGATATGATTAAGATCACAAACTCCTCTGCATAGGCATAATTCGGATTGGATTCGCATCTAAATAATCATAGCCTTACTTAAATAAAATATCGAATAAAATTACACTAAAATGAGTTTTGTCAAACGAGATTGCCAATAACAAAAACCTAACATTATTTATTTAATTTTTTAATCTTTTTAATTCAAATTTTCCTTATTTGTTCAAATATTTGTCTATATAAAATTTATCTGTTGAAATTTATCTATACAAAAATTCTACATGTTCAAATTATCTATTGAAATTCTATAATCTTTTTTCTATCTGTTGAAAATGAACCTAAATTGAATATGTAAACAATAAAACTTCACATTAATCCTCTATTTGCTTAATTTTTACTCTCCAAATCCAATTTATCTTTTATCTCCTTCCCCTTATCTGTTCCAATGCTTTGAATGTCCAGCCAAATAAGAAGATTTTAACCTATTTGTTCTCAATTTTTTTCCAAACCAAACTTCATCAACAAATGGTCAAAAAAAAAAAAATCAACAACAACAAAACATTTCCAAGACAACTCAACACTCATAAGCATGTCCAATTTTATTTACTTTAAAAAACACTAAATAATAGTTAAAAGAGATCCACTCTTTGATAACTCTAAATCATTTTTTTAAGTTTATGATTAAATGATTTTCACTTTTGGCAATTAAAGACAACTCTTGCTACTTTTGCAATGCATAAGCACATGTGTTGTGGGAAGCACAAAACAAACAACAGATATATAACAACTTCAAGTTTTCTGATACATAGAGAATTACTCTATTCAAAAGTTTGAATTCTAGCTTCACTTTTTCATAAATTTCTCAACAACCAAACAAGGTCTACTCAAAAGAAAACTTTAACATCGCTATGATTTTGCTGTTTCCAAGTTCGAAAAAGTCATATCTGTGCCTTGTTCTCTGTCGTTTACCTCATTATCGCTTTCTGATCACACTCCAATACCGTTAAAGCCTTAAAAAAAAAATGGATCTGGAGCTTTTACGATAGATCTAAAGCTGCGGTGATGGAACTACGGGTGTGTGTGGTGCGGTCGGGCAGTTTGAGAGTAAAATTACAAATTGAATGCGCAAGTTAGCTGATTAACGGATTGACAAATTGCGGTTTGGGCGATTTTTGGTAGATTGAAGAATATTTTAACTAATTATCATATATTTGCATAATATATAACACTAATTTGTATAATATTTTTTAAATATATAACACAAAGTAATTTCATATAACATTTTCATATATAACTACTAATTTGTAATAAATTTTATATTTTAAATCTCTCTCACATTCATTTTTACATTGATATTTCATTGGAAGTTAAAAAATAGATATGTATTAACTATAGCGGAGCGGAACGAAGTAGTTCGGTTGGCGGATTATAAATTTTAAATTTTAAACCGTGGTTAGCAGTTAAAACGGTGTAGATTGATGCGGATTGGTGCGGTTTTAGCAAATTAGGTAGTATTTTGCACATTTCTAGATGGGACTATAGATTTGAAAAAGATAGAGAGATCTGTAGATCTGTGTGGTTGAGTAGGCCTTCGGCGATAATAAAAACGAACGATAGAGGAAGGCGGTGTTACTAGCGGTTGTACCGACGACTGAAATGGAATCGTTGAAGACGAAGCGGCGGCAGTGAAGGCAAAATCTAGAAAGAGAGAGGAAGAGAGAAAGATTGAGATAGATTGAGGGAGATAAAGAAGGGTGAGGGAAATGAGACCAGATGGTGTTGGCAGTGTGGGTCACGATGGTTTGTGATAGTGGCTCCGATAGAGGAAGAGAGAGAGAGAGAGAGAGAGAGAGAGAGAGAGAGAACGTTTAGAGGCAAGAAAGGGAGGTGATTCAGAGAGAGTGTGTGTGACTAAGATCGGGACCGTGTATGTGATATATATAAAGAATATTTTGGTTATTTTACATGAGCTTATTCTTGTGGATAAAGTGTTTCAACGCCTGGACCTACGAATATTTTGGTTATTTTACATGAGCTTATTCTTGTGGATAAAGTGTTTCAACGCCTGGACCTACGAGTAAAGAAAATTTAAAATTAGATTTATCGCGTGAGCACCCTAAAAAAAAATAATAAATTCAAAAAAATAAGAAATTTTATAGAATTTTTATATATTCTTTTATATTTAGTATTTTTTTAAAAAAATTTCTTTACAAATCTTGTATGTTTTAAGTTTTTTCAGATTAATTGGATCTAAAAGTTAAAAAAAAAAAATAATAATAACAAATTGAAAACTCAATTTTTTAAAAACAAAACAATAAAGTTTGCATAAAATAGTTATCCGACGAGGCGACAATGATATATCAAAACTTTACAAGTGTGCAAGTGTAATTTACCAAAAATACTCAGCCAAACAAATATTTGCACTGAAAGTAAGGTTAGTTTTGTGATTTCACATGACATATATCAGAACTTTCACAACATATGTTATTATTTATTTTTGTTTTTTTCTTCCCCAGAACGAAACAATTGTTCAAAATATGCTCTCGTGACCCTCACCCTCCCTTCTCCCTCCCTTACTCCACTGTCTCTCTCTCTCTCTCTCTCTCTCTCTCTCTCATGAGTCCATGATTGACGACCGGCGCCGTCGGAGATCTCAAGTTTACTTCCGGCGAATGGGACTCCCTTTGAGGTATCACAGTCTACTCATTTCATCATTTTCCATATCACAATATATATATATATATATTGTTTATCGATCTGGTTGATATGTGGTTTGAAAAATGAGATTAATGTCGGAGCCTCTTCCAAACTGTTGTCTCGTTGTTTGTGGATCTGTACTTAGATTTTCTCGCATCTTGATTTCGGTGAAGTTTCTTTCATTTTTTAATTTTTTTTTTGTAATTTAATTTCTTTCAGAATGAGTAGATTGTTAGATTAGAACCCTCCACAAGAAGCTCATTTGCTTTCGCCCTTGTTAAGAGTTTGGAGAGTGATTTGGTCTAATTTAACTACTGAGTTTCTGATAGTTTGGAGGGTGATTTGGTGGTCTAAATCCACACACTGAAGTGATTGATATGATTTCCTGGTTTTTTTTTATTTTTTTTTATTTTTATAGTGAATAAGCTATCTGTGATGGAAGAATTGGTAGATTGTTCATGATTCATCTTAAGCGTATGCAGTTTCCTATCTTTGCAGCTAACAGTACATTAAAATTTGTTTTTTTCTTTTTCTTTTTGGGTTTGTTTTAATCAGTTTAATGAAATGGTTGAATAGCTCAAAGGGGTTTTGAGGACCAGAAGAGTTTCAGTTGTGAAAGTGAGGTAGAACAATTTGAGATAGCTCGGGCTATTTTTTTTGGTGCAAAGACATCTGATATGCCACCAGTTATGGCACAAAGTTTTAGAGCAGGCAGATCTTCATTCACCTCTAGTAATGGATATGAATCTCCTCCTCTCAACTCTGCTGTTGTTTCGAATGGGGATGATTATGACAGTGATGGTTCCAATTTTGCACCACCGTGAGTTTCTTGCATTCCACTTGTACTTTGTTAAGAATTGACACTTGGCGTTACTTTTAGCTAGCTTGTTAGATTATGTAATTTTGCAAGGAATTGCAGCTTCAATAGCATTTTTTAAGTGCCTTAGACTAAGGACGGTTTTTACTTAATGTATCCTGCAGTACACCGTCAACAATGGCTATTCCAGCAGAACTTGCTGGTGCTATACCCTTGATTGATAAATTCCAGGTGACAAGATTTGCTTATGCTGATAATTGCAATATCCATAAAGAAAGTTTCATCTCTGCCCAATTTGATTAATTGATTGCCGAACATCTTGACTACATATCCAACGCCTGCTTTCTTGCTTTTGATGAATGGTCATTCAAATTTCATATTATCATAATCTGCTGTGTCCTTTAGGTGGAGGGCTTTCTAAGGGCAATGCAAAAGCAGATTCACTCTGCTGGAAAACGTAGTTTTTTTTCTAAAAAATCCGTGGGTCCCCAAGTGCGAGAAAAATTCACATTTGAGGATATGTTATGTTTCCAAAAGGTAATAACATGTTAATTTTGACGACAGTTTGTTTTGTTATTGAGTTTATCAACTGTATTAAGTCTCAATTTTTTATAGGATCCTATTCCAACATCAATACTAAAGATAAATAGTGATCTTGTAAGTCGGGCGGTAAAACTGTTCCAGACTATTTTGAAGTATATGGGTGTTGATTCTTCTGATCGAGTGACTCCAAGCAGCTTAGAGGAACGTATTGACCTTGTTGGGAAACTATATAAGCAGGCTTTGAAGCGTTCTGAGCTTCGAGATGAACTTTTTGTTCAAATTTCAAAGCAGACAAGGAATAATCCAGATAGGTATGCATTTACCCAATTTCATAAATTGCTGGTTTGTGACTTGGTGCATTCTTTATTCTTCTAATATATTTATAGTAAATATGTGGGTTTTCCTTATTGTGTTTGAAATACAGGCAATATTTAATTCGAGCATGGGAGTTAATGTATCTATGTGCATCCTGCATGCCTCCCAGCAAGGATGTTGGTGGATATTTATCAGAATATGTTCATAATGTTGCACACGGTGTGAATATTGATGCAGATATTCAAGTCCTTGCATTAAACACACTAAATGCATTGAAGCATTCTGTTAAGGCTGGACCTAGGCATACGATACCTGGTCGAGAAGAGATTGAAGCTATTTTGATTGGTAAAAAGCTGACAACTATAGTGTTTTTCTTGGATGAAACTTTTGAAGAAATTACATATAGCATGGCAACAATTGTAGCTGATGCTGTTGAGGTACTATTGAACTTTACTTGTCTTTTTGCATGTATACATACATACATACATACAAAGGAGAGTTTACTATAAAAGAATGGAAAATAAAATTGTGATGTAGAGAAAGGGTTTGGAGGCTTACTATTTAAAGGGGCAAACCAGTATATTGGTGCAGTTTATGCAAGTGCCCCTCACTCCTGCCCCCAGGCAAGGAAAAAAAAGTTGCTGATTACATATAAATACATAATGAGGATGTACCACTAAATTTGCAATTACTATCTGAGACAATCAAACTGATTGCATGGATGCTGCATGTTGCTGGGTGTCTTCTATTTCTAAAGCCGAGGAAATAGCAGATAGAAGAAACTGCCTTGATTTCAGTGTGGAAGGGTTGAGCCCAGGAGATTTTAGTAGTAGCTAGTTGTTCTATTGAGCAACAACAAAATACTTTCTAGTTAGTTCTTAGGCTGCTTAAACTCCATCGATGGGAACATTTGATCACTCCTTTTTAGAATTTACTGAAAAATGTTTCATTCATCAGATCTGTGTGGAAAATCTGCACAATAACTAGAGAACCTTCCATGAATGTTATAAGAATCTGAAAAAATGATCTAAACATTCATTGGATGGAAGAATTCAGATAAAAAATGATATGTTACAGTTGGTCCAAATTGATACAAGAATTATTGTTGTTTTCTGAAAAATTCTTCACATGGTATTTGGCAAATTAAGAGGTTTTAGGCATATTGTTGGCCATTGATTTATGGGAAAGTCCTTTTCTTCTTGCTTCTTAGGAAAAATGGAGCTATTCATTCCTTTGTAATGGTTTCAATTGGAAGAATGGTATGCTTCATGTTCTTTTGAGAATTACTGCAAAGGGGGAAATTTTTTTTTGAATATTGGAATGCTTTGTTTGAGTAGTTCAATTCATGATAGCTAGATATTGGGAATGCGTTTTGAAAGTTGGATTGAAATTCATGGGAAGGGCAAAGATGACCACAGTTAAGTCACCAATTGTCCCAAAAGCTTAAGCTATTAGAAAATAGGCCCATCAATGTATGTCAAACTTTCAACACCCTCCCTCATGTTCAATTCCGTCTTGCATGTGGAGATGCAAACATTCATGCATATAGAGAAGAAGAAAAAATGCAAATGAGAGAAAGAATGCAATCAGGGACCAAATGCAACTGGAGAACTTGAACCCGAGATCTCCTCTAACTTGAACCCGAGATCTCCTCTAACTTGAACTTTGATACCATGTTAAGTCACTAATTGTCCCAAAAGCTTAAGCTGTTAGGAAATGGGCCCAATAATGTAAATCAAGCTCTCTAATAACCAGATTGGGTCTGAAGTAGTTGCATGAGAAGCTCATATGAGCAAACTTTGTCGGACATGACTGCATGTAGAAAGTATTTTTCTTCTTGTTTATTAGGATACATTCTGTAAGTTAGATTGAAATTCATGGGAAGGAGAAATATACCACATTAGGTCTGAAGTAGTTTCATGAGAAGTTTAGACCAGCAAGGTTTGCCAGATATGACTGCATTCAGTTTTTTGGCCTAACTGACTGATAAATATTGATATGCTTTCTCTTTTGCTGCAATCTCTGCATGTGATGCATTTGATCTAGTAGTCGTCTAAATGATACTAGGAAGTAAGTTATTTAAGATATTCCTTCTAGCCATTCAAAATTTGAGTTTATTATGCCTGATTAGTTATTTCCTTTCACAGTGTTAGTTTTAGATTATTTTGTATAAGTTTGACTAGTTAAAATACATATTGTTTGCATTACATGCTTTCGTAATTTTAATGGCCTCCTTGGTTGCTATATTTGTTATGTGGTAGTCCATTAACTGTATACATGTCGTTATTGGTCCCCTTGTGTTCTAATATTTTGATTTGAGATTCGAGATATTTGAACCATATGTGCTTGGCTTTGAACAGTTGTGGATTTACTTATAAAAATTGACACTTTTTGGGTTCAAATAGTAGATAGTTACTGTGTTCTTGTTCTCTTCTATAACATGTCAGTATGCATCTTCTTTTTTTTTCTTTATTGATTTTTTCTTGTGGTTTATGAGTATTGTTTAACAGCATTACCACTTCAGGAGCTTGCAGGGATTATTAAATTGTCGGCATATTCTAGCTTCAGTCTGTTTGAGTGCCGGAAGGTTGTTGCTGGTTCTAAATCACCTGATCTTGGAAATGGTATTTGTTTTACCTGAGTTCCTAATATATATATATATATATTTGCTTTTGTTTTCATAATAATATGCATTTTGATGTCATATAGAGGAGTATATTGGGTTGGATGATAACAAATACATTGGGGATCTGCTAGCTGAATTTAAGGCAGCAAAGGACCGAAGTAAAGGAGAAATCTTGCACTGCAAGTTGACATTTAAAAAAAAGTTATTTCGGGAGTCAGATGAAGCTATAGGAGAACCAATGTTTGTACAGTTATCTTATGTTCAAGTATGTAATCATTCTTTTATTTTGCTTCTGTTTCTTAACCACTAGTAGATTTTGAGCAATGCTTTTGAAGTTTAAATCATTTTTGACTTTTGAATGTGATGATTTTGGTTGTACTGTGACAGTTACAACATGATTATATATTGGGCAATTATCCAGTTGGAAGAGATGATGCTGCACAACTGTCTGCACTGCAAATTTTGGTTGAAATTGGATTTATTGTTAGCCCTGAATCATGCACGTCAGTATTGTTTTTACTTTCTTATTATTTATTGCGTTCAATCTCTTGTTGCATGCTGCTTTAGAGTTCTTTTTTGTTTCTTTACTTTCTCATAGTTTTCCCCTCATTACCTTTCTTTGTTGCTTCATGTTGAAATCATAAGACTGAATTGTTTTCAGCTTGTTTATGTTTGGCATTTAGATATACTTTTTAAAACTTCTGTTATATATTAATTTTTTTCAGTGACTGGACATCACTTCTGGAGCGTTTTTTACCAAGACAGATTGCAATAACTCGAGCAAAGAGGGAATGGGAGTGGGATATTCTTTCTCGGTATCGTTCAATGGTAAGAACTAGCATTTTGAAGATTAACTAAATTATATTTTTTGCCCTTTTTCCCAGCTTTGCGTTTTTTTTTTTTTCCTCTCTTTTTAATCTTTTTGCAAACTATTGCAGGGTCAAAGTTTGCATGGTAGTACTATGTCTTTACTTGTTCCTTTATTTGAAATACTAAAAAAAGGATTTTTTTTTTTTTAATTAGACAAATTGGTCCCAAATAGGGTTCACTTTTCTTTCCTAGGTTAGGTATAGCAATTTAAATGGTTCTTATTTGTTCTTACTTATATCACCTTTTACAAGATTTATTGAACTGTCATGGGCAGTAATGTATTGCATAAGAATGCTGTGTTTCTTAAGATGTTTACATTGCCTGTGTAGGAGAATCTAACAAAGGATGATGCAAGACAGCAATTTCTGCGGATCTTGAGAACACTTCCTTATGGGAATTCAGTTTTTTTTAGTGTTCGCAAGATAGATGATCCCATTGGACTTCTGCCTGGGAGGATTGTTTTGGGGATTAATAAACGTGGGGTGAGTCATAAACTATTATTCAGTGGTGTAGATGCACCAAAAATTTGTCATCATCATTGTAGATATGTTGATTGCTGAACATGAAGATGATCACCAATTTTTTTCCACAGGTTCATTTTTTTCGTCCAGTTCCAAAAGAATATCTACATTCTGCAGAGTTGAGAGATATCATGCAATTTGGTAGCAGCAATACTGCTGTATTTTTCAAAATGAGAGTTGCTGGGGTCTTACATATCTTTCAATTTGAAACTAAGCAGGTGGTTAATGCTCATCATCTCCGTTGATTATGCCGATACTGCGGATTTGTAATTTCTGGTCTCTTTCTTATATCCTTTTATTTTTTACATAGTATGTTTTTTCTATTTAATACAGGGAGAGGAAATCTGTGTTGCCCTTCAAACGCATATAAATGATGTCATGTTACGTCGTTACTCTAAAGCAAGGTCTGCTGCTAGTGGGTCAATAAATGGAGATCTGGCTAATAATTATAGGCCTCCTAGTGGGGATGTTAATGAGAAACGCGTCGAGGATTTGTCCAAAGCTCTTGAAGAATCACAAAAGAATTCTAATCAAGTGAGTGTTTGAATTTTGAAAAAGCTTGCCTCTTTTTTAATTATGCTAAATAAAATTGAACTGTCAACAATGAAATTAGTGATGTGGTGTTGAAATCCAAAATAATGTGGATTGAATAAAATGCTCAACCTCCTCTTCATTTTTAAACCAATGCATTTCTTGTAAATATGTGATAAAAAATTGGTTTTTGTTTAGATTTATGACGATTCACTTTTAATAATCTGTAAGATCTATATTTGATTGTGGGTAGACATTATTCTAGCTGTAGTAATGTGATTTTTATTCCTTGAAGGTGACATGTCATATAAAATATTTATTTTTTGTTTGAGTCTTTCTTTGACAGAATTTTCACTTGACCTGAATCATCTTGATATGCTCATGCAGTTATTGGAAGAACTAAATGAGAAACAAAAGCACGAAGCGAGGTTGCAAGAAGAACTAGAGGGCTTGAAAGATTTTTTGAGATCTGAGAAGCAAAACTTGATGGAAGTTACTTGTGACCGTGACCAACTCAGATCTTTGTGTGATAAAAAAGATTCGTCACTTCAGGTGACTGGTTATGTTTGCGAAATTAGTTTCCTAATACTTATTCATTTCCTTACCAAGTGGTGGTTTGGTACTTATTAGGCTGCTTTGTTGGATAAACGGAGCATGGAAGCAAGTCTGGCAAAACTTAGTAATCTAGGATTGGAGAGTAATGCCAAGAAGGAGCTGGTTGAAGCAAATAATCAGGTATACTTGTTAATAAAATCTATGTATGTTTGCAACGAACTCAAATATCTGTATTTTTTTTTAAAGGTAATTGAGTGGAAATGTATTGACAAAAGATCGATTGCATGTACAATATAAAAGGGGAAAATTCGTACCCATGCTTGATCAAAAGAAAAATCTCTACAATACACGGCATGGAGTAAACCTAAGAACATATGTTTGCCTATCTATAACACTGCTAGATTAATTTTACCCCACAATTAACTAATTCACCAGCACTGTAACATTCCTTGAGCTCTGTTATGACATGTAATCTTCTTGATATTTGCATGACACACTTGAACGCCCCACCTTATTTCTTTTGCAACGCCTTCCAAGCACCTTTTTTTTTTTTTTTTTAAAATTTCAGGTTTGTCAAATTTAGGTGAATCGGTGTCTTTTCAAAACAATGTTCATGGCAGTTCACCATGTTAAATTGTGTTAGGTCTTGTAGTTATAATTGGTTATCATTGCTTGATATGATTTGTCGTGGTTTAAGTAATTTAGAATTTGACGTGTTTTACGTATAGGTGTTGCAAAAGATCCAAGATGAATTAAAAATACGCAGTGCAGAGTTGCATGCAACAGAAGAAACTGCGAAAAGACTGGTAAATGAAAAACAATTATTGGAAGAGAGAATCGTGAGGCTTGAAAAGAAGAAAGTTGAGGAGGTAACAGCACAATTCCTCTGCTTTCTAAAACAAAACCATGTGAGTTTTTGCTTGGTCAAACTTTGATATTAGCAAAACTTTGACATCTTGTGGCCCTTAAACGCAGATCGAAGTTCTTGAGAAAAACATTGAACACGAACGAAAGGCCATGCGGCTCCGAGTTGCTGAACTTGAAAAGAAGCTGGAAGTGGTTACACGAGATTTGGCTGTGACTGAGTCGAGTCTTGCAGTTAAAGATACACAACTTACCACTTTGCAAAATAATTTGAAGGAACTTGAGGAATTAAGAGAAATGAAAGAGGTGATGATCTTGATCTCATTGCTAAATTCTTCAATATTTTGGGAAATTCTTCAATACTTGAGGATTTTTTATTTTTGTTTTTATTTTATTTTATTTATTTATTTTTCTTTCTTTTGTAGACAATTAGTTGGTATTAGTTTGTGGATAAATATTAAAATTGTTGACTACTCTAGCTAAAAAGTTTTTTTTTTCCAGGACATTGACAGAAAGAATGAACAAACTGCTTCACTCTTGAAGATGCAAGGTGCTCAATTGGCTGAGTTGGAAGCACTTTACAAGGAAGAACAAGTTTTGAGGAAACGCTATTTTAATACTATAGAAGGTAGGAATATTCCTCTTTATTTTCCCCCTAGTTTCATAGAAATTTTATTTATAGATTTTAGTTGTCTGTAAGATTCATGTTTCTTAATCAATGCTTAAGTTTGTTGTTGAACTTTTTTTGTACACCTCAGATATGAAAGGCAAGATTAGGGTCTTCTGTCGATTAAGGCCTCTTAGTGAAAAAGAAATTGCTGAAAAAGAAAGAAATGTGCTTACAAGTTTGGATGAGTTCACAGTTGAACATCAATGGAGAGATGAAATAAAGCAACATTTATATGATCGTGTTTTTGATGGCAAAGCCACCCAAGAGGATGTATTTGAGGACACAAAGGCAAGTTGAATTAGTTTTTAATTATTAATGAATATTGAGTGTTTTTTCTGTACCTTGCTATGTTGCAGTTTGATATATTTAGCTCATAGTTTTGTATTATTATCAGCTTCTCAATTTTATTTATTTTTTTTGAATTATTGATGCAGTATTTGGTGCAATCTGCCGTCGATGGATATAATGTGTGCATATTTGCATATGGCCAAACTGGTTCTGGAAAGACTTTTACAATTTATGGCTCTGAGAACAATCCTGGACTTACACCGCTAGCTACTTATGAACTTTTTAAAATCCTGAAGCGTGACACAAACAAGCTCTCATTCTCCTTAAAGGTAACAGTTGTGAACCCATAGAAATCTATCAGGCTTGCTCAATGTTGTTGAACATGCTAATTTGGAGAATTCAGTAAGGCATTTTAAAAGTTTGTATCTTCTTCTGGCCATTCTATGCAGTCTGTATGACATATAGGCGCACCATGATGTTCTATTGTAGAAATTTAATGTATAAAGAGAATTGTATTATTGATTGTTGTGTATATTGATCTAAATTACAATGATTCATGATTCCTATATATAGAAGAGGGTGAGTGTGTAGTAGGTAAGGAGTAGGTGAAGGTGAGGTGGTAGTGGTGTAGTGGGTTAGGTTTAGTGGAGTAGGTTTAAGTGGGTGAAGTAGGTGGAGAGTAGGTGGATTTTAACATATTAAAGTTCGAATAAAAGCTCTCCTAGTTTATATTGTACTGTGGTTGTAAGGAGATGATGCATGAAGGTTGTTATATTTACTTATTTATTTGTTTTGTGCAGGCATATATTGTGGAGTTATATCAAGATACACTGGTTGATCTTTTACTACCGAAGAATGCAAAGCGTACAAAACTTGAAATAAAAAAGGATTCAAAGGTGATTGTAATTGGCTTATTAGTGTTGTTTGATATTTTGGATAGATCCAATGTAATGAATATTTGTTTAATCTCATTTTCTTTCATTGATGGCTTTGTCCTTCTTGTGTAACTTATATGGAAGTCTTCTTTCTATTGGCTATGTTGGAATTTGTAGGGCATGGTTTCTATTGAAAATGTCACAGTCGTGTCTGTTACAACTTATGAGGAACTGAAAAACATCATTCTTGGCGGATCTGAACGCCGTCATACAACTGGAACTCTAATGAATGAACAGAGTTCAAGATCTCATTTGATACTATCCATTGTTATTGAGAGTACAAACCTTCAAACTCAATCTATTGCCAGGGGAAAGGTATTATAATTATTGTTCATACTATCTTACTTCATTAAATCAAGATGTGTGCTACTAATGTTTGAGAATCAGTGCATGGACAAATATTCTCTGTTTTCTCTTCTATAATAAGTTTAAAGAAGTACGCGCATGCCATTGCAATATAAGAATATGTAATTATATAAGGATATGGGTTGGTTGGAGTACTCACTCTGCTTGTTTGTTGAGTTGAAGATTCACTAATTTAATCGTTTTTATATAAAAATTCTAATTGTCTCCTTCGTGCAGCTAAGTTTTGTGGATCTTGCTGGTTCTGAGAGAGTAAAAAAGTCAGGCTCTTCTGGTAGTCAGCTCAAAGAAGCTCAAAGCATCAATAAGTCACTCTCAGCACTTGGAGATGTTATTGGTGCTTTATCTTCTGGCAATCAGCACATACCCTACAGGAATCACAAGTTGACTATGTTAATGAGTGATTCACTTGGTGGGAATGCTAAAACACTAATGTTTGTGAACATATCTCCGGCTGAGTCAAACTTGGACGAAACCTACAATTCTCTAACGTAAGTTCTTGTGTTTATCATTTGTGATTTTTAGCTATTGTCGTTAAAAACTCTAATTTTTCAGTTGAAGGCCAAGTTCAGTGAACATGCTTGTTTTTAAATCGATTTATGCATGTTTGTAAAATCGATTATACCATTGTGGATAAAGTAGCATTGAGTCATTAATTCACAATTTCAATTGTTATGAAAGCAATTGAAAAAGCTAATTCTTCTCTTGACATAGTTTTGATGGATCTTAAAATCTTTGCCAACACGGGGACTCTATAGCTTCAATGTCTTGGCCTTGACCACATCAACATGCGTTTTCTATCAATAATTGGCATGGGATTTTATTTTGGCATTTTGTCCTGATTATTTGCGCACACTTTTTACCATGGGTTTGCTGGTAAAAAAATAATTGACTCTATTTCTTTTTGGAATACCTTGTCTTAACCGGGATATGTTGGTTTTAATGTCATTTAGGTACGCGTCAAGAGTCCGATCAATTGTGAATGACCCAAGTAAAAATGTGTCATCAAAAGAAGTGGCCCGATTGAAGAAGTTGGTGGCATATTGGAAAGAACAAGCAGGTAGGAAAGGGGAGGATGAAGATTTAGAAGAAATTCAAGAGGAACAATCAACTAGAGATAAACCAGATGGACGCCATTCCATGTGAAGTTCATATATATATGTAGACAATGATTTGTTGAAGTTGAGAAAATCTTGCTGATTACTGATTTGGAGGCAATTCTTTGAAGGCTTTGGCAACCTGACCTTTGTATTCGTATCAACGACTCGTTGAATTACTAATGTATTTTTTTGGTTGAAATTTTGCCAAGGTCTAAGGTCGGGGGTTATACGAGGGGTTAAGAGTTTGTTTTTAAATCAGAGTTGTAAGTAGTGATATGTATATATTTTATATATTTTTATTTTACCCTTGAGTGGTATTTGGTGCAATCTGCCGTCGATGGATAGTCATTAGAATGTTGGCTAGTCATTAGAATGACAACATGTTGGCTAGTCATTAGAATGTTGTGCTTCTATTTACACCACAAAAACAAAATGCCTTGTGACCTCAATTTTTAATTAAAATTTTTTCTTTGTATAAAATTACTTAAAACTCCTCTAGCCCTAATTTAAAACAATTAATCACTATGTTTGTTTTTAGTTTTTTGTAAACACCTTTTAGAAAATTTTCATTTTTTATTTTTTGTATTTTTTTTTATTTTTACTGATTTTTTTTTAATATTTTAAGTAATTTTTCTTATTTTTTATTTTTTATTTTTAGACATACTTAACATAAATACATTTAAAAAGTATAATTTTCGTAATTTTTTTTTAAATTTATTAAATTTATTAAATATCAAAAATATAAAAAATATGAAAATTTAGTATTTTTTTTTTGTATTTTTGTGTATTTATTAATTTTTTAAAATATTTTTTTACAAATATTTTATTTTTTGGATACATTTAAGTAAAGTGTATCTAAAAAAGTAGTAAAAAAAAAAAAAAACTTAAAATTTTAAAAATATTTATTAAAAACCAAAAAAAAACACACAAAATAAAAAATAAAAAATGTAATTCAGAAAATTAAAATTAAACACACTCCCATCACCATCTATACACTGTCGGCACTGACTATTTTGTGTTGACACTTTATGTAGTAAAAGCTAATTGTATTATGCTGATGTGGATTGATTTTTTAATTTTTAAATTTTTTGACAATTTGGGATCAAAAAGTCTCGTTTAGGATGAATTTTTTTGATTTTTTTGGGAAAAAAATAAAATGATTACAATTTGAATGTGACATTTTATGCTATTGACTTTCTACCTTATTTTATTTTTTTATGACTAAAATAACTAAAAAAAAGTCCATGTCAAACATAGCCAATTTATCCATTATTTTTTAGTGCATTAGATTGCATAATGTCTAGGGGAATGATGGTTATATTGGAGAAATTTATAAATTAGTGAAACAATAAAAAAATATTTATATTTATATTTTTATGATAATACAAAATTTTTGTGTGCATAGTACAAGTCTTTCTTGTGCTATTGCACTAATGCCGTGTTTGGTGGGAGGATTTGAGAAGGGGTTTGAAAATGAAAAGGGAAAATATGTGTGAAATTAGGTGAAAATGAAAGTATATTTTATTTTTATTTCACCTATTTTTACTTTTTCTTTCCAAATCTTTTTCCAAATCTTCTAACTAAACACAGTATAAATGTTTTTTTTTTTATATCCATAGTACAATTATTTTTCATGTACCAGTTATTTACAAGTTTTCCTAGCATCAATGGTGTTAGATTTTCTCAAAAAAAAAAAAAAAAAAAAAAATGGTGTTAGATAACGTGAGAGATGTGAATTCAAAATAAAAAAGAAAATTGCATTTCACTGGTGGTGCAGTGAAAAATAAAATGGTGGTACAAATTTTATGCGTTTATAGTGTAAATTATTTCTATATATGGTATAAGCCCATCTTGTAGGTTAGAATTGTATTACAGAATGAGTAATGATTCATCCCCCTTTTCCCCCACCCCCTTTGACCCCCTCTCTCTCTCATTGGTTACCTTTTTTTTTTCTTTTTCTTTTTTTTCCTGCTCCTCCAATCACCCCCTGCCACGTGGCAAAGGGGGGTGAGGGGGTGACCCCCAAAAGGGGGTCCCAAGCATTATTCTTACAGAATATTCTACTAAGGGGTTGTTTGGAATAATCTAAATAAATATATTTTTTGACTTTTTATAAAATATAGATTGTGTTAAGATTGAGTTTGAAGTGATGTATTAAAAAAATAATATGACTTAAATAAAATAATGTGACTTAAATAGAATAATAATTTTTCAACTTTTTTTTTCAAACATGTCACACCAAACCTAATTAAGTATTTCTCCAAATGAATATGGGATGCCTCGTTTGATTTGTTCTTTTCTTTGTCATATTTGACATGACAAACAGAAGAGTTGATCCTCCGCACGCCACTCCTTCCTTCTTTGTTTTGGGGGCATACGTCCTCATCCGATTGCTAATTCGTTCCGACTAGTCTGAAAATTTTTGAATTTCAAAAAATTATTTTATCCAGAATAATGCTTGGACCCATTTTTTGGGGTCACCCCCTCACCCTCCTTTGCCACGTGGCGGGTGATGATTGGAGGAGCAGGAAAAAAAAGAAAAAGAAAAAGAAAATATAACTAATGAGAGAGAGAGGGGGTCAAAGGGGGTGGGGGAAAAGGGGGATGAATCATTGTTGTTTTATCAATAGGCCAAGCTGAGTTGACCCTATCTAATATTTAACCTATTTTAAAAAGTGAGTTAGAAATTATTTTTTAATTTTTAATTTATTTTCATCTTTAAGTAAAAAGTTAAAAAAATTTTAAAAATAATTTTTAATTATCTTTCCAAAATACCTTAAAGAGTTCTAATCTAACCTAATTTAATCCGTTTATTTATAAAATATTAATTATTATTTTATATTATTTTAGTTATAAAATAAATTAGAAAAAATATAAAAGATAAAAAAAAATTGCATATATATATACTTCTTTCAAGGGTTTAAATTAAAATATTTGTTAAAAATTAAATTTATTTTGTCATTCAATTTGTTAACATTCCAAATTCAATAATAAATAAATAAATTTAATATTACATTTAAGATGAAAATAAAAAATATAAAAAATATTAAGTCATATTTATTGAATCAGTTCCGATTTGTAGCTCGAAATTCGGAGGTTCGAATTTGGCTCAACACCAAAACGACGTTGTTTTGGTGTTCTTTTTTTTTCGTGTTTTTTCTGAAGATAAAATAAATTATTTCTAGATGTTGATCTGCATAATTTGGTCTAGAGAAGAAGATGAACATCCAGATCAACATCAATGAAGATCAACATCCAGATCAACATCAATGAAGAAATAAATAAAAGAGAAGAAGAAGATGAACAATTTGGTCTTTGATCTAAAGATCAACATCCACATCCACATTTGAAGATCAACATCCAGATCAACATCTCTAGACGTGGATGTCTGGTTCAGCTCCTCCGTCTAGAGTTGTGCTTATCAACATCCAGATCAACATTAAAAAAACAAAAAAAGAAAAAAAAAAAAAAAAAAAAAAAAATCTGGTTCTGCAGATCAACAACAAAAATTTGGTTCTGCAAATAAATAAATTTTGTTCTTCTTGTTGGTTCAACAAAAAAAATATACAGAACAGAACAACTTTTTTCCGAATTCATCATCATCAACAACTTTTTTTTATTTATTTTTTTTCAGATCCAGAACAAGTAAAAAATAAATAAATATACAGAACAGAATTTTTTGCACCGCCATCATCCTGATCAAAATTTTTTTTGAACAGCTTCAGATTTTGAACATCATCATCATCTTCATCATCTTCAACATCATCATCATCTTCAATAGCTTCAGATCACCGACCGCCATCACCGATCTTTTTTCTCTTCTCTCTTCCTCTTCCTTTTCTCTTCTCTCTCTCTCTCTCCCTCTCCCTCTCCCTCTCCCTCCTCTTCTCTTCCCTAGGAATGGCAACGGGGCGGGGCGGGGCGGGGCCGGGGATCACACTCCCCGTCCCCGATCCCCAATGGTGGAAATTTTTCCGTCCTCGGCCCCGATCCCCGACGGGGAACCTATAGCCGCCCCCACTCCCGCCCCCGGCGGGGATCGGGTTTCCCCGACCGCGAAATTCCCCGGCCAAAAAAAAAAAAAATTTCAAATCTGAGCTCCAGATCTACAAGAATTCATCAACAATCAGATTCAACATCATCATCATCAACAGCACAACCATACACCAGATTTAACATATACATTCAATAACAAATCTGAGCTCAAATGTAAAACATAAAAAATCAAAAATCAAAAACAGATCTGAGCTCAACAAATCACCATTTTCTTTATCTTCATCCACAACAGATTTGAGCTCAACTAGGATCTTGGCATCGGTGGTGACCAAAACATCCAGATTTGAAGAACAAAATCGAAAACCAAAGAGAGAGAGAGAGAGAGAGAGAGAGAGAGAGAGAGAAAGAAAGAGAGAGGTCTCTTATCGTTCTGTGTTGTCCGCGACGGCGAGTAGGCCGTTATCTCTGTCGCCGATCTATCTCTAGACTTCTCTGTGGCTTGAATCTGGAAGCAGTTCGTTCATCTCTCTCACAGAGTCACAGAGAGTAAAAGGAGAAGAGAGAGAGAGAGAGAGAGAGTTGAGAAATGAATTCAAAATGCTTTTTGACCAAGTCTTGAGAATCTGTAGCCTAATATATATATATATAATATATAATATAAAGCAGCCTAACATAAATATATGGGATTGTTCGGGGGTGTTCGGGGCGGGGCGGGGCTGGGAGGCTATCATCGTCCCCGCCCGAAAATTACCGGGGATTAAATTTTTAATACCATCCCCGACCCTATGGGGATAATTTTTGGGAAAAACCCGTTCTAATCGGGGTCGGGGGATCGGGTCCCCGTCGGGCCGGGTTTAAATTGCCATCCCTACTCTTCCCTCTCTGTCTCTGTGTTCGAAAGAATGAAGGGGAAAGAATGAAAAGGAAAGAAATAAAGAAGAAAAAGAGAAAAAAAAAAAAAAAGACAGCCCAAAACGACGTCGCTTTGGGCTGTCGAGCCATTCGGGCCATAGTGATTTCGAGCTACCACTCATTTTTTCTTATTGAATTAAGTGAGCAGATTTGGAATTTAATTGTTTTTTTACAACCAGGTTTGAGATGGCTAGATTAACTTAATGTTAGGCTAGACAAGTTTGAAATGACATATATTCTTTTGTTATATAGTGCAAACTTGACTCGAATCCGACCTAAGATTAGTCCATCCCTAGGCATATGTGTGGTGTTCCTTTGTCATTTGACATTTTAAAATTGGCTTCTCTTAATATTTGAATGTGAGGGAATTTGAAGTGTTTACAGGGTCTATTACAGATTACGTTTT